TTTTGTTTTTTTTTAATTTTCTTTCACTTTTTCTAGTAGATAATTTATGTTAACTGGTTGTTTTGTTCCTCCACTTGGAATTAGAATATAACCACAGATTCCGGATAGAATTATCTGGTCAAGCATAAGATGAGATCATTGCCATTTAGCTCTTTGATTAAATGCTGAAGTTTTTAACCAAGTCTTCCTAAAATGGCTAACACCTAAAGAAACAGGTCTCTGAACAATTTCTTCATGATATTTGGGGCCTCACTGAGATACAAGGAAACCTCTCATTGTCATGCCTCTATGCAGTGTTGTAGAGAGTCGTCCTGTTTTTCTGCAACATCCATGACCATTTGGCCGGCTCAGTTGCCCAAGGGGAAAGACAGCGGCTGTTTTGTTCCCAGCAGGATAGCTGTTGGATGAGGATCAGATTAACAACCTGAGCTAGTTTTATTGGAACAAAATTAGTAGGGAAACGCCCTGAGAGATAGATGTGAGGATTATATGGAGCAAAAGTAAAATAAAAAAAAACTTATTCATTTGTAAAGCCAGGTGCTCCTCAAGTCCTAAGAGCTTAACTAGCCATCTGCTGAGAAATGTAATGTCAGTACTTCCAGGCTAACAATTGGATCGTGCCAGCAACCACATGTGCTGTGTATTGTGCAGGTGTGGGACATTTTAACTTCTCTGGAAATGCGTGACAAAAGATTTGTCATATGTGCACCTGGAAAATTTTTAATTTACTGCATAATAGGTGTGGAATTTGCCTGAGAAATAATACTAAGGCACATCTATGTAGGCACAGACACAGGACCTATCTCTAAGTTCTTAAAAGGGCACTGCATACTGCCATGCTTGTAAAAACCCTTGTGAATTTTACCTATTCCAGTGGCTGCAGAAAGCACTCACTGTCACCACACTGTCTTCCAGAAGCAAAGCCTCAGTGTGTTCACACTACAGTTCGTATCCTCCTATTTCTTTGCCTTTTTTTGACTTCTGTGTAGCCACTGTACCAACCTGACATCTGGGTTTCCAGCTGAGAGCAGCTCTGGGGATGACATGCTCCCCCAGGTGCCGCCGCCGACAGCAAGCGGCAGCTCTGGCACAGGGCGAGGGCTCCAGCTGACTGCAGCCATGCGCCTTCCCTCTGCCTTATGGTGAGACAAAAGCAGATGAACCTCTCCATGCACCAGCTCGTGTTTTGTCTGATTTTGTTCCTACACCATCTGATACTTTTTTTTTTTTTATCAGCCCAATGAATTCTTTCGGTATTAACTTACTGAAAGCTTCAGTCCTCATGCTGTTTTGACGGTAAAAAACAGACTGTTGACTCTGATCCTTCAGGGATAAGAGAGATGCTTTAGCAATGATTGAATGGTCCCTGCCTGCACAGGAGCTATAGGTGACCTTTTTGTTCGGCTTCTGACTCAAAAAGATACCGGCTCTTAATAACCTGGCTTCAATTTTGACTTAAAAAAAGAAAGAGGAAAAAATGTGCCAAAGCTCACCTTTTTTTCTTCTGAATGTGAGGTCAGAAAGTGCCTTTGCTGCCGTGACTGCTTTTGGAGAATCTCTGTATTTTCTTTTCAGTCCATGGCTGTCTACTCAAGGCCAAGGGACAGAAGGGATAGCTTTCAGTAGTATATCTGCTGTGACTTTGGTACATGTTTACATATACTGTAATAAAACTTGTCTTGCCTCAAGACAGTTTAAATTAGAGGTAGTAACGATAAAGATTTTTTAACAGATAATTACATTTCTGAAACCTGTAGAAAATTGTATTGGAATTTTTACTTGAGTAGATTACTGATCTGTATTTGTTTGGTTCAAAAATTATCCATCGTGGGAAGTGACAGTGTTGGTACCTGTGGGAATGGGATTGACAATGACACAAATAAAATGATATCTAGAGGTTTTGTTCATTTTCTGGAAATATCAATTCCTTGAATAGACTTCTGCTTTGTTCTATCTGTTTTTTCTATTACCTGCTGTCAACACAAAATACTGTATGGCTGCATATTGATCAGACTTCAGAGCAACAGCAGCTTTGAGCTTGGCCTTTGCTTTTGGTACGTTTTCTTTCCAATCTGTAGCTTTAGGAACAGAATTTTACAAGAAATGTGACCATCAGTGTGATTTTGTAGCCCATTTCTGAATGCAACTAATTATACCTGAAGGCCCTGAGAATGAATGCAATGTACTAAATCCAAACATGCTGAAGGCCTGCTTAGCTAATGCTGATTGTACAAAGTTCACACCGGTATTCAAAGTATAGGAGTTATTCTAAAGTGTAATATGGAACTGCACACTGTGTCTGGTTGATGGCATTCGCTTGCAGGAGGATAAATAAAAGCCAAACTTCAGATACATTCTTAATTTCTGTGTATTTTATATACACGTGGTGTTAGTTACATATTGGATCTATTTGGATGACTCATGAGATGACTAAAAATAAGTCACATAAAATATCTGCAATTACAGTATTTAACAGGTGTTTGAAATACTATTACCACTAGAAAGGTGATGTTTCTAGAAGATGCAGTGATTTAATGCTTGTCTTCAAAAAGCATCTTACTGAGCATCAGCTGCAATCTGCTTCCTCCAGTGAAATTATTTTCTTATTAATCATAATTGTTTTCTTTGTCAGATGAGTTTGTTTGGTTTGCACTGAACTGTATTTGGAATATTACTGTTCAGTTATATTTGGGCAATAGGCAACAGTTAGACAGAAGCTTTAAATGAAAAAAAAATGTGTTAATTTGAATCTGTTAATTATGAGGTATCTCACACATCAGATATGGTAACAACATTTTCCAGATTCATCTTTTTGGGTGTTTTTCACCTTTATCTCTCCCTTTAATGCTAACTCTACTTAATAGTTTTTCTTATTATTCTTATAGCCCCTCAAGCATATCAAGCTAGGATTCTGTCTGATGTGCATTTGTTTGTATTTAAGACATTAACCTGTCTGAGAAGTGAATATGGTAGAGGATCGTATTTCAAAAATATGAATGTATTCCAGCTTTGTGAATCAAAGACCTTCTGACAGAGCCTTTACTTGTCAAAATAAAATATGTACTTTAACATTTTTATCTGCATACCCTGACGTATATCCTCTTCCAACCCATATTTAAAATGTCAATTGCCTAACACAAATTGAGAACATCCGTATAAAAAAACAGACTTTATCTGTGTGTTTGGAATTATTATGTGGTTTTTACTTTAAAAATGCATACATTAAAAAGACTGCCTAACAGTTACTTTAATGATGGTATTAATAATCACAGATATTTCTTAAACATTGAAAACTTCACTAGTTCTTTTATGTTAACTGCAGCAAACTCTACTACTGTGTTAAGAAGTTCACATTTAATCAGCTGTACATTTCTCTATTGTTTAGGGTTCTGTGTGATTCTATTGTACAAAAGATAAATACAATAGCTTGCTCACAGGTCACAGATAGCTACACAGCTATGTCACAATGCATTATATTCCAAAGACTTTATGAAACGGTATGATGTTTGCAAATGTTCTCAGTTGCGTAGGATTGTTGTATCTGTCTGCTGCTGTATTGTATGAGTTAACATATCTCAGGCTCTCATGAGTCTCTTCTCTTCAACTCCAGGCTTTTGAGGAGATTGATTCCTTCTAAAGAAAGATTCTGATGTCTCTTTCTTCAAAAGCCCATGGACATGTGCAGAGCAAATGAGCAGAAAGGCATGGGAGAAAACTAAGAGCATTTTGAATTAAATACCAATTGAGTATTAGTATTCATTTTGGCCAATCTGCACGTCTCACTGATTTGGTAGAAAGAACAATGTCGATGAATCTAGCAGCAATAGCACTGGAAAGGATCCTTTCAGATAAAGAAAGAAGTGCTTAAAATCGTAAAACACATAGCAGTGCTCGAAGAGAAGGAAAGCAGATCATTAACTCTGCCTAAAACTTATCTTTTAACCAGTCTGGGAACGTATTTTTTGTTTGTCAAAATGACAGCAATCAGGTCAGCTCTCTGTAACATTAAAAACAACGTAAAGGGAAATAAAGGCTTCACTTCGAACAGGCAGCCCTGGACAAGAACTCAAGTGTTCCCTGGCACAGGGGAGACATGAGCTGAGAGGTCCCCTTCTCCCCCATCCTGCAGGCGACAGGCCTGCTACAGCGCGCTGCCTGGAAAGCCTTGCTGCCAGTGCTCCAGAGAAAATGTGTTGTCAGGATAACATGTTGTGTTTATTTGCCAAAGAATATACTTGATCAAAGATCTCTGGGCTTATCTGTCTCCATATTTTTGTCATCAACTATGTGATGTCTGTATTTTCTAGGTCAGTTAGATATTACGCTTATATATGAGCATGTCAAAGGAATGCTTTCGCTAATGCATGTTTAATGTGAATGCATCTGAGCTGTTATTCAAATAATGAATATTTCTTACTCTTTAATACATTCTACTTGAATCAGTTTGAAAATTAACATCTCTTATTTTGAAATTATCCATAATCCTAAACTATCCACAGATATAATAGGTTTAAAAACATAACATTTACGGTTGAGCCTTATACGCTGATGCATGTTTTTCACTAATTAACCCATTTTAGTTTCTTTGTATCCCAAGATGCTTTGTATTCATCATTTATATGCTCTATTTAACTCTTTTCAGGCAAGAGACAATATGAATATATGCAAGCATGCTCCTGCATATGTTACCCTAGTGAATTGCTCATTGTTTGATGAATATGGTAGCTGGAAAGCAATTATTGTAACTGAATAGAAAATTCTTGTTCTCTTGTTAAAAAAATATTTTAAAAAATTGCATATTTTCCAGAGCACGCTGCTCCTAAAATTGACACTGGCTTTATATGAAACAAAAAAAATATACACCAAAACTACCACTTCTTCAATAAAAAACTTTCAAAATTATTATTGGGGTAGCATTTATGATACACTGTGGAAGAGTATAACAGCCTTAAACAACAGACTGCAAAATCATTGACATCGCTTCTCTATTGTCTCCACAGAACCTCTAAAAGCATGTGTATTCTTGGAAACCTGTTTAACCAATAACATTTGAACCTGAAATGCCAGATTCATGTCCCAACAAACTGATTTGGTAAGTAGTTGTTGGTTCTTTTGTGTAATTCAGTAAGATTAATTGAATATTTTTTATTGGGATTCTCTGAGTGCTTCAAACAAATCAAGTGTTCCAATAGGAATTTTCCCTCACCCACCTGGAAAACAAGATGTTCCTGACATTTAGAACTGCAAATATTTCAGTAATGCTAACTAGTACCTCTGGCAAACAAAATTTGCTCTAATTATTCATAAAGTGAGTAACAACTCACCCAAGATGTTTGAATGCCCTGTTCTTAAGTAACCAGTGTACATGTCCTTAATATAGATTTGGTAATCTCAGCCTACCTAGGGAATAACATAACTTTTCCCTGGATGAAACACATAATTGAGTATAATGTAATCTCCAAGAGACTGGAGATTATTGAGGTGGTTATCTGTGATTGTTTCTTCTATCATGGACTGAGTGAATAAACTTGTAATTCTCTGAGTTCTTAAATTTAATTCTTAACTACTAGAAGAGTCAGAAAAGGGTCAGGAAGGTACTAAAGTTTCCATGAGGTTGTCTGTTACAATGATTTGAGAAATACAGGTAAAAAATAGAAAGTCGTGCAGGAATAAATTCTCTTCAGTAATGCATCAGAAATATCTCTACCATCTACTGTGAGTATAGAACATATACTGGCTTTTCTTTTGTTCGGTAGCACAAAATGTTCCATAGTGCTTAAGGTACCATGGTGACTTTTAGCATGACAGATGTTTACTGAAGTCTTTGGCGTTAAATGATAGTACAGCAAATAGTGTGGTTCAAGTAATATACTCAAGTGCAGAAATCCTTGGAAGATTCAAAAATATATTGTTCTATGTGATTCCAAAGTTTTGAAAGTTTGAAAGTTCCTGTGTGTTCCACAAATTTGGAGGCAATAATTGGTTTCAGAATTGAAAGTCGTATTTTATGAGATTAAATAAGTAGAATATTAATTTGTGGTTTGTGATTTTCTTTTAGAAATACAGACTGGTGTAGGCCATGCAACACTATGCTCACTCTTATTTCTTATATTTTATGAGGTAAAAACAGTATTATTATTTAGTTCATTGTACTAAAAAGGAAAGTTTTAATTAGATTTCTGCTTCTAGCAAAGCCTGTTCTAAAGATTCTGGTAGAAACAAATAGGTATTTATTTGCTTAGAAATGGCATTGCAAGTACAAAAACAAGTAAAATGTGAATCACTGCCTATGAACAAGTGGGTGAGACTCATAAAAACCCCAAACCTTTATTCCAAATTATTTATTGAGAATGGGTATTTAGAAGGCTTAACTCTGTGGCTGGAACAGAAATTAAAGTAATTCCCAAAGCAAGCACAGACTTGCCACTTCAAAAAAAAATTTGAGAAAATGGAGCAAAGACACTTTCTGTTTGGAACAGGTAATTATCATTTAGGATTTCACCACAAATTTTATTAATGCCCTGTTACCAAATTTAGCTTGGGGCATGAGTCCATCATTTATTACTAAACTTTCTGTTTCTGTACATGAATTAAATACTCTGAGAAAATATCACGCAGTGAGTTTTGAATATATTGTGTTTTGCAACTTCAAATCCATTTTTTAAATTTGGTAATCATCAATGAAACTATATCTATGCCTGATCTCTCTGTAACATAGTCAATAATATTTGAGTAATCAACAGCCTGAAGTTTGTGATGCAGATCTGGAAGGATGGTATTTCTTGGGGGGAATTCAGCTTCAACCTAGAAATAGGTCATTTGCTAAATAAGTCACAGAAGTAACAGATATTCTTTCTTTTTCTGGCATTTCTCCCTATTTCCTCCATTAACTTTATCTTACCAAAATGCATTTATTTCTAGCACCTGGAGTATGCCAGTATGTTAAAATGCTTTTGTCTGGCTGAGGCTTGTTACATACTCAAATTTTATTGTAATTGACAGTTCAGGGTAACACTGTCCCTTGCGTTTTGCATTGTATTTTCTGTTGAAATGTTTACTACCTTATGCTGGTAATCTCTAACTGTGCAAACAGAACAACAACAACAACAACAACAACAACAAAAGGAGTGGTATTGTCCTTGATTCAGAAGCAGTGCAAGGAGACCAAAGATCAGAAGAACAGGTTTTGGAGTAAGAACTATTCAAAACAGACATGTGGACAAATGCAAGAGCAGCTTGTCTTCCTGGATAATGCTGGCCATTAAATGTAGGAAGGTTATATTGTCCATTTGCCTGAGAGAACACAAAATGAACCACAATTCACAGATAAGATTTGCAGAGATCGATAGCTTGCATAAATTTTGACAGTTAAAACCATAGCACAGCATTTCAGACTTGATGACCGCAAGAGTTTAGCATTTATGAGCAGTCAAGTTTTAAACTTTGGGATTTGTAGTAGGCTAATTATATACTGCTTTATTTTATACAACTTGCATGACTTTTTTGATGTTTTAAATGATGCAAAAAGGGAAATAGTTGTTCCTTATATACAGGGAAAGATAAGTCATTTTCCGTGGAGTTGCACAATGATGTGGGGTTTTTTGAGAGTTGCAGTAAGTTAGGAATAGTGAATGGAAGTGGAAGAGAGCTGGGGGAGCCTGGCTGTTCCCAGCACCCAGTGAGGTTTCCTTTCCTGTCCTCTTCCTGAATACTTGAAAGATTTGAGAACTGTGTAAGATTTAGCTTCATGAAAGGGCTTTAATTATTTAGTGTTGATGGAAAGTCACTGCAGAAGGCCACAGGTACTCCTGTACTTTTAAAAATTCTTATTCAAAATATTTAGAGCCTAATAACTGAATTTTAGAGAAGCAGCAACTGATTAAAGAATCCTTATTTCGTAGGGAGCATTCAGTACCTTTAAGAACTAATGCTTTATTGAATGGATTTGGCATTGTCAGCTTGCTTTGGCTGTTATTTTCTGACTGCTTCATCTACATTTTTCCTCTAGTTGTCATTGGTGTCAAAAGAGAAATAAGACAACTGATTCAAAGGTCAGAGACATCATTTCAGATTTGATGAGTCAGTGACAATATTGCTCAGAGAAGTAGCCCTTGGCAAGTTTAAAAGTACTGACAATTTTGTTGGAGAAATGGTTGCAGGCAGCTATGAAGGAGTTTTCTTTCTACATATAGATAAGTAATGAACTAAAACTTGTAGTGATCCATGCAAAATATGTAATCTGGGATGAGATTTGTCCTTAGTTTTCATATGCTGAGTAGTGATGAAGGACAGAATATTGCAGCTGTTGCTGTAAGGGGTCATGCTCACCATCAGGCCATAGGAAGTGGGCCTAGGCCTGGGTCCGAATCCCACTCCTCACAAAATTAGCTCTTCTGCTGCCCTGCTCAAACATAGCCCCAGTGCAAGAGGGGCCAGCAAGGCAGAAACCAGAGAATGACACCGAAATGTAAACCTACATTAGTAAGGACACAACACCTAAATTATACCGCTATTAATTATCTTCCTCCTCAAAATGGAGGTACATCTTAAAATGAAAGTAACGAGCATCATAATGTTTCAGACACTGTGGGTCCCCCGCTGGCAAAAGTTACGTGCAGTCCTCCACACCTTGGCCCCTCCATTCATCCTTTAAACATTGGAAACTCTCGATGAGAAATTGCCATAAAAATGCATTTCTTACAGGGGAAATCACTGACTGTGTTACCTACTTTGATTTGCGAGAGTTTCACCAAAAATGTCCACATCAAATTTTCCTGATGATTGCAGAGTCTAAAACAGAGAAGGGAATCTTTGATAATATTAACAAAAACTTCCCTAATATGCTTTGATTCTTGCCTAGAGTAAGAAGCTGCTCATGTAAAAAGTAGGTCACTGAAATAATTGCTGTACTGAAAATAATATAGCCTGACAGTTGTGGGGTTGAGGTACTGTATGTCCATTGGACTGTAGCAGGTTGGGAGCCTGAATTAGCATAAAGATGGAAGTCTTTAGGATTTAACATTAGTTGTCTGCTTCTGCCTTACCTCCTATAAAAGGTGCTTCCTTGTCAGCTAGGTGAAATTTATTTTCTCAAGCCATCTATATTACACGATAATAATCATAATTTACAATGTTTTTTGCAAGTATTGCTTTTTTTGTTTTACCAGACTCTGTGCATATATATTTTTCCTGATTGCTTCTATTGTCCAATTAGCTAGTACTTAATTGCTCTAATTTGTGCACAAACATTTAAGAATATGGTTTTTTTCTTTTATTAACATTTCAATTCGCTTATGTGTTCATGTTGAATAAAAAAAGACAAAAGGGTTATGGGAAGTGGAAAAGGGGGCTGCAAAGGACAACGGAAGGTCAGATTGGAAAATCTTTGTTGCATTAATTCTCAACCATTGCTTTGTATGATAAAGAGGGTGATATACCAGTGAAACAAAGATTTGACTATGAAATACTTTTTACCTAAATTTGTTATCTCGTGTCAGTTGTGCCACATTTAAAAATCAATCAGTTAAAGGACTTTTTTAAACCTAGTGTTTTAAAACTAGTAAATATGCTACTTTCTAACTCGTTTACATGGAGCTATGCCTTCCTGTAAGGATATGTAAATAAACAAGAGAAGAAATCTCTACAAAATACAGGGCTGAGCTCCAAACTGTAGGTTTTACTGAAGATGATATTAGACAAATGAAATATGATTGTGGCTTTAGAGACAAATACTACTGCTTCTTATATTTCACTATTTTTTTTTAGAGAGACAAAATCTCCAGTGTGTTAAAGAACCATTCCCCATGAATTATACATTTGTTCTTTTTTATTTGGCTACGGTGCTTTTGTCATATTGAGTCCTCAAGATACTGGAGATGTATGTATAATATGCTGAGATTTTTTGTTGGCGGCATGCACAGTTGTCAGTTGAAGCTTTTTGACTTGTTTTAAGCATTTATATGTTGACTAGATTATATGCTTTTTTTATGACAGTGTTAATTTTTTTGATTATTCTAGTATTTTCTGATACTTCTGGTGCATTGCTCCTGCCTAGAATTTTTTAAATTACAAATTTGGTGACTTAAAAAAAAT